GAGCTCTATCCACTGTGCCACCTAGCTGCCCAGCTATCCCTTTTTTAACCTGACTTCATAGAGCCCAGGTTAAGCACGCCTATTTTAAGACTGAACTGCTGAGCAGGTGCAGCTCTGCCTGAGAAAGGTTTCTTAAGAGTTCTCTACACTAACGAAGCCCCAACTCTTGCCCCAAATAAAAAACGGGCAAGACATTACGACAGATGCCGGGGGTTCTGGAATCCCAGGTTTAGAGCGAAGAGACCTTAGAAACTATGGAGCCCAAACCTCTGTTTTTACAAAGAAGGAAACTGAGGCCCAAGGAGAGTGAGTGACTTTCCCAAAGTCACTTTCTTTAAGAGGATTTTGCTATGAAGGTGATTCCTCATTCTTTATTCATTCATTTCATAGGCATTTATCAAACACCCTTGTGTAGAGGCTCTGTGTTCAGCCCTGAGTATAGGAAGATGAAATAATTCCTACCTACAAGGAATGAATGAATGAATGAATGAATGAGTGAATGAATGAATGAATGAAGCATTTTAAGTATTTATAATGTGCCAAGCACTGTGCAAAGTAACAAGGATAGAGACAGAAAAGTAGGACAGTAGGGCGCTCTCAGGAGCTCTCATTCCAATGGAGAAGACAATGTATAGAGAAGGCTTCAGCTACAAGTCACATGGGAAGGTCTCCTGGTCCTTAGCAGGCAGAAGCAAAGCGATGGTCAGGCCTCATCTTTTTTTTTCACTTAATAGTATTTTATTTTTTCTAATTATATTCAAAGATAGGTTTTGACATTTATTTTTATGAGATTTTGAGTTCCAAAGTTCCCTCCTCTCCCCCTTCCCTAAGACAGCAAGCAATCTGATATAGGTTATACATGTACAATCATGTTAAACATATTTCCTCATTAGTCATGTTGTGAAAGAAGAATCAGAACAAAAGGGAAAAAACACAAGAAAGAAAAAACAAAAAAAATTGAAAATATAATGCTCCAATCTGCATTCAGACTCCATAGTTCTTTCTCTGGATGTGAATAGCATTTTCCAATATGAGTCTTTTGGAATTGTCTTGGATCATTGTATAGCTGAGAAAAGCTGAGTCTATCAAAGTTGGTCATTGAACAATGTTATTGTTACTGTGTACAATGTTTTCCTGGTTCTGCTCACTTCACTCAGCATCAGTTCATGTAAGTCTTTCCAGGTTTTTCTGAAATCCACCTGCTCATCATTTCTCATAGAACAATAATATTCCATTACATTCACATACCACAACTTGTTCAGCCATTCCCCAATTGATGGGCATCCCCTCAATTTTCAATTGTTTGCCACCCAAAAGGAGCTGCTAAAGGGTCTTTCCCCCTTTTATATGATCTCTTTGGGATACAGACCTAATAGTGGTATTGTTGTATCAAAGGGTATGCACAGTTTTACAGCCCTTTGGATATAGTTCAATTGCTCTCCAGAATGGTTGGAACAGTCCACAACTCAACTAACAATGCATTAGTGTTCCAATTTTCCCATATCTACTCCAATTTTCCCATATCTTCCTTTTCTGTCATATTAGCCAATTTTATAGGTGTGAGGTGGCACCTCAGAGATGTTTTAATTTTAATTTCTCTAATCAGCAGTGATTTAGAGCATTTTTCATATGACTATAGATAGCTTTAATCTCTTCATCTGAGAACTGCCTGTTCATATCCTTTGACCATTTATCAATTGGGTAATGATTTGCATTCTTATAAATTTGACTCTGTTCTCTATATATTTGAGAAATTATGTCTTTATCAGAAACACTGGCTGTAAAAATTGTTTCCCAGCTTTCTATTTTCCTTCTAATCTTGACTGCATTGGTTTTGTTTGTGTAAAACCTTTTTAATTTAATGTAATTAAAATTATCCATCTTGCATTTCATAATGTTTCTCTATCTCTTGTTTGGTCATAAATTCTTCTGTTCTCCATAGATCTGACAGGTAAACTATTCCTTGCTCTCCTAGTTTGCTTATAGTATCACCCTTTATGTCTAAATCATGTACCCATTTTCACCTTACCTTGGTATATGGTGTTAGATGTTGACCTATGCCTAGATTCTGCCATACAATTTTCCAGTTTTCCCAGCAGTTTTTGTCAATAGTGAGTTCTTATCCCAGAAGCTGGAGCATTTGGGTTTATCAAACAGTAGATTACTATAATAGTTGACTGCTGTGTCTTGTGTACCTAACCTATTCCACTGATCCACTATTCTATTTCTTAGTTAGTACCAAATAGTTTTGATGATTGCTGCTTTATAATACAGTTTTAGATCTGGTACAGCTAGGCCACCTTTCCTTGCATTTCTTTTCATTAATTCCCTTGATATTCTTAACCTTTTGTTCTTCCAGATGAATTTTATTATTTTTTTCTAGCTCTATAAAATATTTTTGGTAGTTTGATTGATATGGTGCAGAATAAGTAAATTAATTTGGGTAGAATTGTCATTTTTATTATATTAGCTTGGCCTCCCCATGAGCAACTGATAACTTTCCAATTATTTAGATCTGACTTTATTTGTATGAAAAGTGTTTTGTAATTGTGTTCATATAGTTCCTGGGTTTGTTTTGGCAGGTAGATTCCCAAATATTTTATATTGTCTACAGTAACTTTAAATGGAATTTCTCTATCTCCTACTGCTAGGCTTTGTTGGTAATATGTAGAAATGCTGATGATTTATGTGAGTTTATTCTATATCCTGCAACTTTGCCAAAGTTGTTAATTATTTTAAGTAGTTTTTTTAGTTGATTCTCTAGGAGTCTCTGTACCATCCTATCATCTGGAAAGAGTGATAGTTTTGTTTCCTCATTGTGTATTCTAATTGCTTCAGTTTCTTATTCTTTTCTTATTGCCGAAGCTAATATTTCTAGTACAATACTGAATAACAGTGGTGATAATGGGCAGCTTTGTTTCCCCCAGATCTTACTGGGAAAGCTTCTAACTTATCGTTATCACATAAAACGCTTGCTGATGGTTTTAGATAGATACTCCTTGTCATTTTAAGGAAAACTCCATTTATTCCTATGTGCTGTAGTGTTTTTAATAGGAATGGGTACTGTATTTTGTCAAAACTTTTTTCTACATCTATTGAGATAATCATACAATTTCTGTTAGTTTTGTTATTAATATGATCAATTATGCTGATAATTTTCCTAATATTGAACCAGCCCTGCATTCCTGGTATAAATCCCACCTGGTCATAGTGTATTATCCTCATGATAAGTTGCTGTAATCACTTTGCTAATATTTTATTTAAAATTTTTGCATCAATATTCATCAGGGAAATTGGTCTATAATTTTCTTTCTCTGTTTTGGCTCTTTCTGGTTTAGGTATCAGCACCATATTTGAATCATAAAAGGAATTTGGTAGAATTCCTTCTTTAACCATTTTTCCAAATAGTTTATATAATATTGGAATTGTTCTTTAAATGTTTGGTAGAATTCACCTGTAAGTCCATTGGGCCCTGGAGATTTTTTCTTAGGGAGTTCATTGGTGGCTTTTTCAATTTCTTTTTCTAAAATGGGGTTAAGTATTTTATTTCCTCTTCTGTCAATCTGAGCAATTTATATTTTTGTAAGTATTCATCTATTTCACTTAGATTGTCAGATTTATTGGCATACAGCTGGACAAAATAGCTCCCAATTATTGTTTTAATTTCCTCTTCATTGGTGGTGAATGCACTCTTTTCATTTTTGATACTGGTGATTTGGTTTTCTTCTTTCTTTTTTTAATCAAATTAACCAGAAGTTTATCTATTTTATTTTTGTTGTTGTTTTCATAAAACCAGCTCTTAGTTTTATTTATTAGTTCAATAGTCTTCTTATTTTCAATTTTATTAATATCTCTTTTTGATTTTCTCCTGAATTTCCAATTCTTAGCCACCATGAAAAAGAGCTACTGTAAATATTTTTGTACAAATAACTTCTCTCCCCACCCCCTGCCTTTTTGTGGATGTCTTTCCAATTCCATCACCGATCCAGAAGCAGTTTTAGACCAATCAATGGCTGAGACAAATGGTTCTTGGAAACATTGTTCGTAGATCATAATTCAACTCAACAAACATTTGTTAAGTACCTATTATGTGCCAGGTGGTATGTTGGGTGTTAGGGATAAAAGGAGCTCATATTCTACCTGGGGAGACAACCCGGGTGCTTAGGAGCAAATACGAGGTGATTTAAGCAGCTGGGGAAGCCAGGGAAGATGTTGCATAGGAGGTGGCCCCTTGGGAGGAAGATAAAGATTCTAAGAGGTAGAGATGGGGAGGAGTACATTCAAAACATGATGAGGATCGGGATGGGGGGGAGACAGCCTGGATAAATGCTTGGAGGTGGGAGATGGAATACTAAGTTGGGGAAACAGCAGGTCAGTTTGGCTGGAACAACTCGTTGAGCATCATTCATTTATTCAAAAAAACACTTATTAAATCAGGCTACGATCCCCTGTGTATGGGAACTTGAGTTCCTACAAGCACTGATAAGGTGTAGCCTCTGCTCTTACAAAGTTCCCAATCTAGTGGGGAATACAAGGCATTGACTCTAATGCCAATTAGTATATTGTAAATCCATGAGTACAAAGTGTAATGAGATCAAAGGAGGGAGAAATCACTTCCAACTAGAGGCCAGGGACCAGCAAAGGCTTCCTGGAGGAGGCGTCATTGCTATGGGGCCTTGAAAGGCAGTCAAAAAGTCAGGTAGACATTTACACGAACATAGCCCCTAACCCAGGTGGGCTGTGTGGATGTCTCACTTCAGCTTCCGGTCCTGTGGCTTTCACAACCTAAGCAAGTCTCAGTGACATCCTCTGGTCCTTTCCTGTGGCCTAGAGGTGATCTGGATTCTTAAGCCTCTTCCTCAGCCCTCTCCCCAGCTCAGCCAAGGCTCCAGCCAGCTGCCGTGGTACTCCTAAGGAGATGTGCATCAGGACCCAGGGTACAGAGACTACTCCCTAATGGTTTCTTGCCTCTCCTTGCTCAGGTAATTCCCTGACGGATCAATGACAGCCAAACGATGACAAGTTGTGGCCAACAGTCCTTGAATGTGCTCACGGTCATTCTCTCATTGCTGTTCTCAGCAGGTAAGAAAGTCTCTGCTAAATTCATCCTCTTGGGATGGGAGCTAGGCCTGGGAGGAGACAATAGCAGCCATTGTGCATGGCCGGGGTAGAGTCAGAGGGTCAGGTGGGGGCCACACAGGAGGGAGTGAACACCTGAGAGAATGCAAGAAATCCCACTCACGTCTCTCTAGGAAGAACCCTAGGGGTCAGGAGGGCCAGAGTCACAGGATTTCTGCAAGGAAGGTGGTGGATGTGACATCTCAGCAAGCAGCAAAGGATAGTGGAAAGAGGACTGCATTTGAAGTCATAGGTCATGAGTTCAAATCTGAACTGTCCTTGTATAACCTTAGACAAGTCGTTTCCCCATCTCTGGCTTCAGTTTTCTCAAGTGAAAGATGATGGTGCTGTACCAGAAAGGTGCCCTCTGTCCCTAAACCTCTGATGCCATGAACTCACTTCTGTAAGAACAAGGTCTGTCTCTCTGCCCCACTACCCTACCACTATAGCCCCTGGGTTCCAGCCTCAACCCCTGCAAAGCAGGAAAGCTTGGAGTGGATGGCCAGCTCTCTTAAAGCCCAGGCAACATGGAGAGGCCAAGATTCTGGAGAAAACCCTATTTTAAATAGCACATTAAGGGTGGCTTATCTATTCAGGCCCAGAAGCCTTTTTTGCTCCTTGGAACCCCAGCTCAGTGTCTAAGAGTGTCTATTCTCCATCACTAGCAAACACCACTGACCTTTTACAAATGTATTTCTAGGCCTCTTGTCTCTTTTTCCTGGTGCCTAGACTCAGGTACTTACAAGGCTGTTTGTGCATCTCTTTCGTGGTTTCTTTCCCTGAGATGCGCAATGAAGTATCTCCCACAAAGAATGAGTCCCAGAGGCCACTGCCTGGATCGCTGTGCTGCTGACCCCCTGCCTGTCCCTACAGCCACGGAGAGGTGCAGTACAGGGAAACGAGCTGGAAGAGGCAGTGACAGCAGAACAGAGAGGGCCAGCAGGGTTGGGGAGAAAGATCCCAGCCAGGGGAGCTCGGACTGGTCCTATGACCTTCCCCAATCCTCTGTAAAAAGACAGGGGTAGGGAAGTCTACATGGCCTCAGAGATCCCTTCTATCTCTGGCATTCAGGTGCTGGGATTTGAGGTCCAGAGATCTGTGTTCAAATCTGGCTTCAACATCCTGATAGCCACGTGGCCTTGGAGAAGCCCTTTCCCTTGTCTTGGCCTGAATTTCCTCACCTGTCAATGAAAGGTTTGGCCTAAGGAACCTCAAAGGCTCCAACCAGCTCTAAATGAATGATTCGATAATCCAGATTCCCTTCAGCTCCCTGGACCCCACAGTCCTTTTCTCTGAACTACAAGATTGAACAAAGTGTCCTCTAAGGGACATTCTGGAACGTGGAGCCTAATTAATGTGACACTAATTATAACTCCCATTCCCATGGCCCTTGAAGATTTATAAAGCCCTTCCTCTCAATGATGTTGGAAGCCAGGTAAAACAGGCATCATTTTCCCCACATCTTACATATAGAGAAGGTGAGCCCCAGAGAAGGCGAATGATCTACCCCAGGTCACACAGCTGGCAAGAGCCAGACTGGACCTAGAATTCAGATTTCCTGACATCAGATCCCTGATGCCACCAACTGCAGGACTTCCCTGACTTTTCAAAATCTGTGGCACTTCCAGCATTTTGCTAAAAACAAAACAAAAAAAAAATCCTTCACAGTGGGAGAAGTCTGAGCATCTGACTGGAACTCATTGAAAATGACACAGAGTAACTGCAGATATGGACTCCTGCCCATTGCTTAAATATATTCATTAAGAGGCTGAGAAGATTCTCTATTTTTCTCCTTTCTCAGCCTTCCTTATTTTCCATAGTGGATCCTCCCTGTGGTGGAGGTAGGATTCTGTCTACCGAATTCACCTTTCATCCAGAGATTGAGGTTGACCCCATTAGTTTATAGAAGAAGAAACGCTGGGCCTTAATTTCCTTCACCTGCAAATTGAAATCAATGGAAGGGCCTGTCCAGCTCTATCTAGCGGGGTATGATAGGTTCAGAACTGCATGGGACATCGTCAAGCCCAACCACCCCACTTCGAAAATGAAGAAACTGAGGTCCGGGAACCCAAAACCTACTTCTGATCTTTACAATCTGAGTCACCCTGGGCAAATCACTGTGTCTCTGGAGTTCAGCAGAGATTGGACTCCACGGCCTCAGAGGGGCCTTCTGGCCCTGAGCCTGTGATTCAGGATTCAGACCCTGGCTTCTCACTGAAAATCTGTCGATTTCTTTATCACACTGATTTTAGCTAAATGTCCGGAGAAGGGCTTCAGCTTACCCAGGGTTGGAGAGCTATTAGGTAACGCACCTTGAAGCTGAGTTTTGTGCAGTTTGTGCTTTTCTGTGCAAAGCCAGACCGTCCAGCTCATCCACCCAAAGTCCAGATGTCCATCCAGCTATTTTGTCTCTACCAGCCACCAAGTATATACTGAGCACCTACCATGTGCCTGATTAGCATGGAGGGCACACAGTGAATAAGCTGTGGTCTTCGAATCAGGACTTTGGGCTGGAAGAGACCTTAGAAATTATCTAATCTGATCCCCTCTTTTTACAGAAAGGGAAACTGAGGCTCAGAGAGTGGGAGTGTCTTACCCCAAGGTTACCCAGGTACTAAGCAATGTAGGAAGTTGGAGGTCTTCTCACTCCAAAGAGCTCTAAAGGAGCCCCATTCTGGCTAGAGAGAGAAATCTTCACCTAGCTCCAATGCCTCCTCTTCCATGAAGTACTATTGGGCTACCCCCAAGTCATGAGTAATAGCTCCCTCCTCCAACCTCCTTTGTGTTTGGGGATCATAGAATTGGAGCTGGAAGGGCCCTCTGAGCTCCTCTAGTACAATTCCTTTATTTTACAGTTGGGGAAACTGAAACCCACAGAGTGACTTGCCCAGCATTACACAGTCAGTAAATATCTGAATTAGGATTTGCATCCAAATGTGACTGCAAATGTGGTAGGAGGTCAGAGGAAGGGGTGATATCAGCATCAACTCATCTCCAACAACTGGTCAGCTCCAGCATCAGCTGGATGAAAGCTGTGGGACTTAGGTGGACCTTGCAGGATGGTTATGGTCCATAGGAGGAAAGAGGAGGAAATTCCTAGGATCCTGGTTCTAGCACCAGGAGGACATCAAGTCCAACCTTACTTAGAGGACATCAAGTCCAACCCTATTATTTTTCAGATGAGGATACTGAGGCTCAGAGAGGTAAGAAAGTGACTTGCCCAAGGTCACACAGATGGTAACTAAGATAGAATTTGAATCCAGACTTCTGTGACTCCAAGTTCAGGGCCCTCCCTACTACATCAAGCTACCTTCAAAGGGAGTAAGGGAAGTAGACTGAGCCTTCATACTCAGAAATCACAAGGTCAGGATTCGGAAATTCTACCGACATGAATTAAGCACTTACTGCTTACCAACTCAGGAGTGAGAACTGTGGGGATACAAGGAAACAGAACACATAGACCCAGCCCTCATTAATAAGCTGGGGTGGGGTGGGGAGGAGTCTCGGAATAAGACAGGTGCGGAAATTGCTAAAATGTAAAATGAGAGATGATAAGTAGGCAAGAGGAGTGAAATGAAACTGGAGTCCAGATGAGGGTCAGATCCCTACTTCCCAGGGATCTGGGAAATCAGGGAAGGCTTCGTGGAGGAGGTAGCATTGGATAGGACAGAGAAAAGGGATGGGAAGCGAATCCCGGGCATAGGGAACAGCATGAACAAGGGAGGCAGAAACGACATGTTTTAGGAATAGTGAATCATCTGTTTTGTGTAGAACACAGAATTGCGATGCGGGGCAATGTGAGGTGAGGTTGGAGCTAGGCTGGGGAGGGCTCAAGAATGCGCTCTTTATCCAGTCGGTAGTACAGAGCCCCCCGGGCATTTCAGCAGGTGAGTTTTCGGGTCAGAACTGAGCGTGGGGAGGTGGCTCTGACTGGGGACGTAGCCCACCCCAGCGGGAGGAAGGAGGGCAAGCCCCGCTCTTCTCTCCAGGATAACACACTGAGTGAGAAGGCCAGCAATGGCCGAAGGCGCCCCGTCACAGAGCCCTTCTCGGCTTCTTTGTTTCGCAGCGCTGTCCGCACACTTCAGAGTCTGTGAGCCCTACACCGACCACAAAGGTCACTACCACTTTGGTTTCCATTGTCCCCGGCTTTCCGACAACAAAACTTTCATCCTGTGCTGTCACCATAACAACACGGTCTTTAAATACTGCTGCAACGAGACGGAGTTCCAGGCGGTGATGCAATTGAATCTCACCAGGCAATCCGAAGGCTACATGCATAAGTAAGTGGATTCATTGAGACCCCTGCTGATCCTTATCTTTAAAGGACCCCTTTCCAAAGGGTTTGGAGTCAGGCTTGACCTGGATGCAAAGCCCACCTCTGACTCTGCCCAAGCACTGGCGTCGCTCTCTGCCCTTCACTTTCCTCATCTGTAAAATGGGAATAATAGTCCCCAAACTACCTATTGCTACCATCCAACATTGTTATAAAGCAAAGTGCCAGATAAATGAGAATGACTGTTTGGGCATCCTTCCTTCCTCTGGCACCAGTGCCTGCCCCCTCCACACACACACACCCCAGGAGAAACATCAGCCCATTATATTGTTAGTTTATAAGACTAATCACCCAATACTGTCTGGCATTCGGTCCCCAAAGCTCATATAGCCTTCTGCCCAACATAACTCGAGAGGACACAGAACGATAATAGCGCTGTCAGAATTCCAAATGCTTTATAAACATTAACAAGCCCTAGCCAGGACCCGCTAAGGACGGGAGGCAAATGTGATCGTCACCTTGCTCCAGATGGGGAACACAGTCCCCGAGAGAGGCAAGTGGTGCCAGAATGAGAATTCCAGCGAAGGAATTTAATATGAAGAGGCAGAAAGCCGGCTGGAGGCTTGGCAGGCAGAGGGCTCCAACTTTTCAAATGGAGTGGAGAGGGGATTTTTTTTTAATCCTTATTTTTAAAACCATGTGTTTCTATAATCTGCATATTTGCATGTGATTTCACACTTAAGCTGCTGAATGTTTCAGTGTTTGGTTCCTGAAGCTCATTGAGCAAATTTCAAATGAACCATTTGTCTCCAAGAAAAGAGGGAATCATTGAGTCTTAGGATCATGAGCTCTTCAAATCAGAGCATCCTAGAATCTTAACATCTTAAACTACAGTGTCCTTGAATCTTAGATTTGGAATATCCTACAATCTTAGAATCTTAGAATTAGAGTATCCTAGAATCTTGGAACTAGGGTACCCTAGAATCTTAAAACTGGAGTCTCCTAGAATCTTAGAATTAGAATATCCTAGAATCTTAGAATTGGCATCTCCTAGAATCTTAGAACAGGAGTATCTTAGAATCTTATACTGTAGTATCACATAACCTTAGGTTATAGTTTCATGGAATCTTAGGATTGAATTATCAGACTCAGACTACAGTATCATAAATTTTTTAGAATAAAGTATATCTTACATACTAAATCTCATATAGTATATCTTATCCAGGTATCATAGAATTTTAGAATCTTAAAATCTGAGTATCTTAGAATTTTGGAATCAAAGAATATAAACTAACAAATCCAAATCAACAAATATTTAAGTACCTACCGGGTGTAAGGTGCTATGCTTAGAGGTACCTGGGATACAAAGACAAAAGAAAACTATTCCTAAGCTCTATAATCTGATCACAGGATCAGCGTATCTAAGTTTAAGAATTTATAGGTTTAACCTGTAAGTTTTGATCCAAGACCCAGCTTGAGAGAACTACTTTGTAAGCATAGTACAGAATGTCAGCACTGAGGGGGTTGGTGCTTAGAACAGAGAATGTCGGAGCTGAGAGGAGTCTTAGAAGAGGGAATGTCAGAGCTAGGAGTGGCCTTAGAACAGGGAATGTCAGATCTGGGAGGGAGCTTAGAACAGGGGATGTCAGACTGGGAAGAACCTTGTAGAATTAGAGAGGACCTTAGAGGTCATTTAGTAAGACCCCCTCATCTTACAGATGAAGAAACTGAGGCCCAGGGAAAGAAAGTAACTTGCTCTGCAGATCATACAAGTAAGCAGAAAGCCAGTATTCATACTTGGCCCTCCCAGAGCAACAATGCCCCCTCCCAATCGCTCACTGCCTCCGTGGATGTGAGTCACTGTCGTCTTTCATATTACTAACTGTTGGGAATGGTCCCTTTAACAGAGGAGAGCTGGGGGAGTAGAGCTTAGAGTGAGCTGAACTGAGCCAGTCTCCTTTCCCCACTCAGCCTCACCAAACCTCTCTGCTTCTCCTTGGCACATGAATCAGCCCCAGAGGCGGAGCTGGTGGCAGCCAAAAGGGTAACGAGCTTGGTGACGGATGCCTGATTTATTTGTGTTTTCTCAAAGAACAGAATGGCTTGTTTGGGTTGGGGCTGTTTGGCAGATGGAAATCCAGGCCAGGCTGCAGAAAATTGTCTGATGGGGGAGCTCACCAAAACAGAAACCAGGCTCCTTTGGGGGTCAGGTGGACGGCATGCAGGGCACTAAGGAAGGGAGAAGGGCATCAGAAGCACCTGATGTCAAGCATTGCCTGTAGGGTGTGCCCTGGGCAAAACACTAAACTTTTCTGTGCCTTGGTTTCTAAATTTGTAAAATGGGGGAAATCACTCAACAAGTATTTATCGAGTCCTTATTGTGACTTAGCCACCACTAAGCACAGGGGATACAAAAACAAAAGAAAAACAGTTCCTGCCCTCAAGGAGCTTATGTTCTAACTGGGGAGACAGCACTGTAATGGGAGAAATATCTCCTTTTTGAGTTCATGTAGTAGGTAACTGCTATAATCTGATCACAGGATCAGGGTATCTAAGTTTAAGAATTTATAGGTTTAACCTTTAAGTTTTGATCCAAGACCCAGCTTGAGAGAACTGCTTTGTAAGCATAAATAAATAAATAAATAACTCTATAAATAAATAAATAAATAAATCTGCCACAATAAATAAATCTATTAATAAATAAATAAATAAGTGAAATCTATAAATAAATAAATCTACCACAACGAAGAAAGTACAGATGTAAAAACCTAGGCTTTATTATGCTTAAGCACAGGTTCAGAGAGGTAGAAAAATCACCCCTGAACAGAGATTAGGATTTTTGGACAAGCTTTTATAGAGAAGATTGTATCTTAGAGACAGAGAACAAATTATTTTACATATTGCAATCTTGTACATTTTTTTAGTCTAGAAAATTAAGAAAAATAGATAGATTCATAACCCCATGATTCCTTCACTGTCATAAAAGCTGAACAAACTTAGTTGAGCAGAGCCATAATCTCATACATTCCCCCAAGGAAACAAACCTAATTAAACAAACTATATTGGTAAACTAAGTCAGACTACTGATTAAACTACATTTAGAAGGTTCCCAACTAGGCTGATGGAGGGGGGAGATTCACATGTCATAGCGGCTGTGTCAGTAGAATTCTTTCCTTAAATCAAATTACTTTGGAAGTCTCGAGTCCCTTTTTCTACTTCTTATCTGAGGAATGTTAAACAGTCTGCCTTCAACACTAGTATTCCATGAACCAGGTTTTGGTCAAATGATGCTAATGTCAATTGAAGACAGACTTCCAGTTAACCAAAGGTTGCAAAAGGAATGGTCCTGAACCCCAAACAATAAAAATTAACAAAAAAAAAAGAAATCAAAGGTGACAAATTATAATCACAAGCTCCTTGAGGATTTCACTTTTGTATTTGTATCCCCAGCACTTAACACGGTACCTGGTACACAGTAGAGGCTTAATCAATGCTTACTGATGAATTGATTGTCATCACTGGATACTTGTTCACCTACCTTACAGGGGTATTTTGAGGAAAGAGCTCTGCAAAATCTGCAGCTTTCAAGAAATGAAAGATATTGTTGGGAAGAGGGAGGCGATCAGAACCACTTCTGATTCTGCCTCTTCTGGGAAATTTCTGGCATTCCTCTCATTCACAGAGGGAGCCTGGTGCTCAGGAAAAAATCCCTGAACTTGGGATCAGGAGACAGAATTCACATCACAGCCATCATTTCCGAGATGCCGCTTCCCACTCCCCTCACCATCCTCACTGATCCCCTCTCACTGGAATTTTTCAAGTGAAGGCTAGATGACCACCTCTCAGGCGTGTTATAACAGAGGGATTTCCCCTTGGGTATAGGTTGGATGATATGATTGCTCAGGTCCCTCCCAGCTCTGAAATGTTTGCCTCCTTCTGAGTCCCTGATAGCCTCTCTTCTCTGGAGATGCCCCCGTTTGTCAAAGTCCCTCCTAAAACATGGTACTCTGTTCTCTGTGGATTACAAATACTCATTGACCTGTGATGGGCTCTACCACATAGAAACCATTGTCTAGATGATCTATTATCTAGGAAGACTTTCATCAATATCCACCTCCAATGCACTGCAGTGTCAGGGTGACCCTGGGCTCTCAAAATCTTAGAGCTTGGAGTCTAATCTTTGACAGGTCCTTCTGGGCTAAAACAGCATCAAGTCTGGACCCAATGATGAAGGATGTGTTTTGTGGTCCAAGGATCAGCTGAGCTAAGTTCCAAGTAGCTCATCATTAGATTGGCTACAGATGACTGAATTTTTCCACCAAATCAACTCTCAAAGCATCCTAAGTCATAGAGAGGCTGCTATCTGTATCAGTGGAGGGAGCACCCCCCCAAGAAAAACTCATGGTGAAATTGTGGTATCTCTCCACTGTCAGATCCAAAGGTGAACTGGAGAAGCTGTGGAAGTGACCTTTGAAGAGGGACCAGATGACATCCTGATGGATTGAAATAGCCCTTATAGAAAAATGCACACATGGGATATCTTTCCCTGACATGAGTTTAATTGCAGGGAGAAAGCTTATCTCTGCAGATCAATGATTTGCTTTCTGTTGTCAAAAAACATAAACTCTGTGGCCCAGCTTGATCCCCTTAATGTCTTCACTCCTCTATCCTCACCTTGAATATTTCTAAGTGACAAAAAATTCACTACCTGTCAAGGTAGACAATTTAATTTTTCATCTTAAGCTTAAATCTGCCACCTTGTGATTTCTCTAGGTTCTGCCCTCTAGGGCCAAGCAAGACAAGGTTAATCTCTCATCTGTGTGGCAACTCTTCAAATACTTGAAAATGGCCGCTATTCCCCCTCCCCCAAAGTATCCTCCGTCTCCATTTCCCTCAGGCAATCCTCCTATAATGTGGTCTCCTTTCCTCGTACTACCCTGGTCCCGCTCCTCTTGCTCCCCAACTCGTCAATGGTCTTCCTAAAAGGTGATTCTTAGAGCTGAACTC